TGCTTATGCCTACTGTTTCTCTTAACTGAATCTTCACTCTCCACCTGCCACCAACTCTCAAAGGCCTTGTTTGCTTTGTGATCTTCCCCGCTAAGACAAATAGCCTGTCTAGGGAGAATTATTTATGCAAACACACCTTGCAATTAATAACATTTTTTAAACGATTTATTAAAGGTAAAATAAAGAAAAAGGCAGAAAAATAGGAATGATGTGCAAGTCACGCAGAGCCCATAGGCATTTTGAGGCAGGAAAGGCAGGAGATAACCCTCTGCCAGAGACATTGTAAAACATGGATGTCCCAGCTGGAGTCATGGTGATTCCCAGCAAATGCCTCTGCAGAATGCCAGTGTCCTATCAAGGGAGACTCTCTACCTGCATAAAGTCCTCAGGGAAGCCTTGTTTTGTTGATTGCTACCTTCCTTCTCTTCTGATTAGCCCTTTGCTTGCCTACCCCATCCACAACTTCCTCACTTTTTGAGGAATCACTACCTCCCTGCATCTAGGTATGTAGTTTCCCTGCAGGTATTGAGATGTCTTCTGGAAGGAAAACAAAAGTGTTCCTTGTTCTCTTCCCCTCTGTACTGGGTTTGCATGGCAAGGTTTTGGTAGCGAGGGGGCTACAGTGGTGGCTTCTGTTAGAAGCTGCTAGAAGCTTCCCTTATGTTTGGTAGAGCCAATGCCAGCCAGCTCCAAGACAGACCCACCACTGGCCAAGGCCAAGCCAATCAGCAACAGTGGCAGTGCCTCTATGATAACATATTTAAGAAGGGGGAAAAAAAACCAATCTGGCACAACTGCAGCTGGAGTGAGGAGTGAGAATATGTGAGAGGAACAGCCCTGCAGACACCAGGGTCAGTGAAGAAGGAGGGGAAGGAGGTGCTCCAGGCAACAGAGCAGATTCCCCTGCAGCCTGTGGTGAAGATCATGGTAAAGCAGGCTGTCCCCCTGCAGCCCATGGAGTTTAACGATGGAGCAGATATCCACCTGCAGCCCAGGGAGGACCCCACACCCGCGCAGGTGGATGCCCAAAGGAGGCTGTGACCCTGTGGGAAACCCTTACTGGAGCAGGGTCCTGTCAGGACCTGTGGACCCGTGGAGAGAGCGAGGAGCCTGCACTGGAGCAGGTTTTCTGGCAGGACTTGTGACCCCGTGGGGGACCCATGCTGGAGCAGTCTGCTCCTGAAGGACTGCACGCCCTGGAAGGGACCCACGCTGGAGCAGTTCATGAAGAACTGTAGCCTGTGGGTAGGACACACACTGGAGAAGTTCATGGAGGACTGTCTGCCATGAGTGGGACCCCACACTGGAGCAGGGGAAGAGTGTGAGGAGTCCTCCTCTGAGGAGGAAGGAGAGGCAGTGATGATGTGTGATGAACTGACCGCAATCCCCATTCCCCGTCCCCCTGCACTGCTTGGAGGGGAGGAGGTAGAGAAAATTGGGAGTGAATTGAGCCTGGGAAGAAGGGAGGGGTAAGGGGAAGCTGTCTTAAGATTTAGTCTTTATTTCTCATTATCCTGCTCTGATTTGACTGGTAATAAATTAAACTAATTTTTCCCAAGTCGAGTCTGTTTTGCCCATGACAGTAATTGGTGAGTGATCTCTCCCTGTCCTTATCTTGACCCACGAGATTTTTGTTATATTTTTTCTCTCCCCTGTCCAGTTGAGAAGGGGAGTGATAGACCGGCTTTGGTGGGCACCTGGCATCCAGCCAGGGCCAACCCACCACACTCTCTGACAGAAAACGTACCCCAAAGTTACTTCACAGTCACCATCACCATCTTCTACTCATTCTGAGCCAGCTCTGGCTACAATTGGTTTTCTTCTTGTGTTCCTGTTTTGGGGCAGGGAGACAGAAAGCTCAGTGCAATTGCCCAAGACGTAGCGACCTGCCTTGGACATCTCATGAACCCAGCAGTACCTGACAGGGAGTTGGCTGGGACAATCACCTAGATTGCAGGACCAGAGAAATATGGAGAGGGAGACAGGGAATTGGGGACAAGATGCTGCAAAACCAGAAGTCTCGTTGTTAACCTCTGCAAAAGCAGAAGTTCTACTGTTAACATCTCTGCCATTTTGCTGGTTAGCCCATGTTTGGGTGAGGCACCATTCATACATGGCACTCAAGGACATTAAAGTTACTTTTTTGGCCAAAAGGGGAAAGGGACACACATCCTGAATGCTGCTCTATGAAAAGCCCTGCAGGTCAAGAGCAATGATTCCATTTTTTTTCTTATTAGTTATTCTTTAATGAAATTGTTATTAGTAATAGCATTCATATTCTACAAAATTAAATGACACATCACAGAACAGGCCATCTGACTGGTTCATAATTACATTTTTCAAATGAATGAGTCCTGAACTCAAATACCTATAAGCCAATTCAGATTGTGCACATGAACCAGGCTTTTCTGAGCATTTTTGGGGATCTAACAATGCTTGGCCATTAGGAAGCAAAATGCAGCTTACTGAAGCTGACTCTCCTCTAGCTTCCTGCTGGATTTCATTTTCCAGATATCAAAAAACACTGAAGTAGCATGCAAAAATTGTTAACTGAAGGAAAAAAGACTATTACAAATATGGTGTTTAACTACATTTTTTATGTTAGGATAGGAGGGATTTCCTCTCACCTAGTTCTTGCAACCTAAATGAGTTGTATTTTCAGTTAGGTGTGTGTTCTCCCTCTGTCATAAGTGGAAAAGTAATTGTGCCGAAACAACTCATGGCATTGGTGGATGAGCATGTGGGCCTGTCTCCCTGTATTCATAAAAATGAAGAGAGATATAGCTTATCCTAAAAGCCTAATTTGTAAAATTTCTAAAATTAGATTAGACAAGTTCTGGTTTTGATGTCAGAGAAATATAAAGTAGAGCTTATTTAGAGAGGACAGGTCTTTTCACATCATCTGTTAGCCACCACACATCGTACTTTGCTAATGAAATAGCAAAATTTCAAGCTTCCTATCAACTACTCAGGAATTCAAGCACTGGTATTTTGGACGGTAGGGTTCAGCAACAGAATTTAAAAATATATTTATATCCGCTCATTTCATTATGTTACTCATCTGACATACAGCACTGTCAACAGCAAGTTACCTTTCCTCTTGCTGGGAAAAGATAAATGTAAAAGTTCCTGCCGTCCGCTGGAGCTGGATGAAGACATCAACTTCAATTCTATGATACTAAGCATGCACTAATAGAACTGCCTTGCAAAGGCTGATAATAACTAAAAGGTGTAGACTTTATACTTTTACTTTAACATGGAACAGCTGTTGCAGTCTCAAAGAGGAAGCAGAAGATGAAGAGGTTGTCTGGAAGGGGAATTATTTATGTGGTGACATGAAACTACATTTGTATGTTGAGGAGAGTCAGTGCTTTTTCTACAAATGGCCCTAATATTTCCAAAGCCATTCTTACACTCCAGAATAATTCAAAATTAGCCATTGCCTTCAGTGACACCCGGGACTGTGGCCTCAAAAAGCATGTTGGGAAGCAGGAGGCGATGTTCAAGTTCACACAGCATCCTTGAAGAATCAAACAGCAAGAATCAGTATCAGAATATGCAAGCTCTGCAACGAATTAGGGAGATCACTTTATAGTAACTATTTTAATTAACTGAGGTCTACCAATTCCATTATGGTTATGAGATGCATTTCTCTATTCTACTATATAGGCCAGCTTGCTGAGATGTATTAAACACAATTGCATTAGCTAGATCGAATACTGCCAGCAGTGAAGCCCTGGACTGAGGGCTGCATTCACATCCTTAGAACTGCACAACAGACTCATTTATTTTAGACTGAAAAATAAAACCCGAGTCCAATGAGATTCTAGATATCCAGTGTCTCTTCTTTGTGGGAGCCATTAGAGGGATGACATTTGGGGTAGACACTATTCTACACCCAAATCTTAGATACCTTATCTTCCAAGAAAAAACACAAGTAGTGCTAACACTACTTATTGACAAGTCAAAGAGAGCAGGAAAAAACACAAGAAAAACAAAACATATTTTATTAAAAAAATATAATTGTGAATAGCATTGTAATAAATATTTTTCATCTGTGTATGACCCCCAAAAAAGCCATGCACCTAGCAAAATGTAACAAAGCAATAGCTTAAGAAATGGGATCCAGGAGCATGTTCCATCAGCGTTTCTTAACTAATCACATGAGCATGTATTTCATGTCCCAGATGTGAGAAGGTTCTCTTTCTTCTATTCCCAAGGTGAACAAAAAGGCAGTCCAAATCAAGAGCGACGAAGAGTTGCATTATCCCCAAATGGTAAATCAGAAGAGTAATGAGCAGTAACCAAGTAGTGCCAGCTATATCACAAGGAAATTAAATCCCCAAAACATTTTTCAGAGAAAGAGATCAAGAAGCTCAGTATTATCTAATAATTTCCAAACCATAGTTGCCAAGAAGGTTACAGCATCTATTTCAGGCTTAGCTGTGAGTATCTGGTGTTTTATGATCTACAGTAAAGACAGAAAATGCCCTGTCTGTATAGCATCTTGTCTTGTTGCACCTTATCTTTTATGAGGATCAAAGTATTGAAAAAAAGTCTTCAAAAGCTGGAAAACAAAATCTCTGCAGGGAACCGAGAGCCCGGGAGGGGGGCAGGCAGAAGCAAACCCAGAAGATGGCCTTTTCAAGAACTAGCTGTGAAATTTATGATCGTCATAGATCTAAAGTGCTTTACCTTAAAGAGATATTTAACAAAATGTGTCTTTGAAAGTGCATAAACTTGAGAAAGCAGAAACCTGGATGTTTAAATAAATACCTCCATACCCAGTCACATATACAGAAGCCTGAATCCAAGGACTTTTCATGCTATAATAATTCTATTAACTTCATTGCAATTTTTCCTGAGTTACAACAATATGGAAGAAGATTGCCATCACAGAATAAAATAAAAAAAAAAATATTCCCCTGAACAGACAGAACACAGAACATCTGAGCTGTCAGACCTTCATCACAGAAGAAAATAATCTTTCCCTGCTTTCTCTAGGTCTTCTCAATTTGCATATCTGTAAAAGCAAGAATTATATGAAAAAATTATCAAATTACAAAAAGATGAAGTCACAGAACATTTCATGGCCTTGGGACTCTTTCCTAGAAGTACCAAAAAAATTTCCTTAATTGTCAAAATTAAAGATCTAAAATGAAATTCATTAAAACGTCAAATAGAAAAAGATAATAATTGGAGGAAATAAAGTGGTAGTTCAAACACACTGGTGGGAAGTGCTCTTTAGCAAATACAGTGAAATTGCTGTGGCTTAAGTCCCCCAATTCTTTTAAAAATTTCTATTAAAGTCTTTCAAATATATTCAGTGCTCTATCTGTCAGTATCCCTAGCAGCATATCCCCAGGCCTTAACTCTGACTTGGAGATCTACACCTGCAGGACCAGCAGGCTTACCTTTGTTTATGTTTACACCAGTAAAGTGTAGCAGGGAGAGATGTGGGATGTAATTAATATAAGTGCTTTAGGAGTCAGCAAGAATGTGAAAGAAAAACCTCAATAACTTCACCCTTCTGTTCCATACCACAGTATGTTTCAGAGATTTGGTCATCTATTTTCTTGCTTTGCTGAGACTCACTTTGCCAAGTCTCACAGCTTGAGACTTGCTTGAGTGGTCGTGATGGGTTAAGGTCTCCCTAACACCATTGCCATCACCACTCCTTCAGTTGTGCTGGCACAACTGTTTCTGTAGCAAAGTGTGAGCTAGAGAAAAGACTAATTTAGGTTGTTACATAGCTCCACATCATTCTTTCTCTCCACACATGACTTTCATTCACATGTTTTTTCTTTTTATTTTTAAAACCGGATTAATTATTTGATGTAACTCCCAGTACACAATGAGTTATGGTGGTGAGTTTGTAAGACAGAGAATGGGGGGCTGTACTTCTCTTGAAGGCTCTGTCTGTGAAACAAGGGACCAAATAAACCAGACATGAATCAAGGTTCTGATGATCATGGATGATTTATGCTGTGTGCAATTTGCTACTATTTTTGCCTTTATCATTTCTACTTACATTTCAGCTCTTCATCTTCAAAAGAAGCATCTCTGCAGTCATGTGTATCCTTATCTTTTGACAGCTCTTTAAACAAACGACATATATACAAATAACAGTCAGCACACCTTAAACTTTTCATATAGTGATAAATCTTTGTTAAAAGCTGCTATCTCAGGCTGTCCAGGATCTCAGGCTGTTCAGGAACTATGTGACTTAAATGTGGATCTGAAGAAGAGATGAATGCCGAATGTTGTGTCCATTTTGGGCAAGTATTCTCATGAGAGGTTTTCTTAGGAAAAACCCCAACAGCCAGTATGAACTAACTTTCATATAGCAGTTTAATTTGAAGTGGTCTCCAAATAAAACCATACAACAAATTCAAAAAAAACAAACCATGAGACATCATGAGAGGGGGCTAAAGGATATTAATCTCTTCTCTCCCACTGTAAATATTAACTCTCTCCACTCTTTC